TGGATCCTGGAGACTGAATCCTGCAGGTCGCATAAACCTGGGCATCCAGACCTTCTCCCCAGCCCCAGGACATACATGAGTGAAACCCCACAATAAATAAAAGGATGTTTCTTACAGGAGCTCCAGGCCAGCAGCACGGATGGCTGGCCTGCCTCCGTGTCAACAAAGACAACCCACAAGCAGCCCTTGCCTTGGGGAGACCCCTTGTTTCCCTAACTGCTACTCCAGTGGCTGTGGGATGTGGTACAAAAAGCACTGAATTTAGAGTTAGAATCTCCTCAACAAATCTGCTGCTCTGTGTGATCAGGGTCAATTCACAAAGATGGCTCAGCCTCAGTGGGCTCATCTGTAAAAAGGAAGCCATGATAATAAGTTTATCTACCTAACGAGATTTTGGTGAGCATTGAGTAAAATAACTTTAATAATGGGTGTTGCAGGAACTGTAAAATATTCTCAAAAATGTTTTCTGCCCATCCCATGAAGCGATCACTCACTGTCTATTCCAACAGTGCAGCTGGGGGTACGGGAGAGGTGGGCAGAAGCCCCCCTAATGCCACAGATCTACCCCCAGGAATTCATCAAGCATCTACTTTGTTTCTAGCACAGAAAACGTCTAGGATGAGGTCACTGCCCTCCATACATTTAGGAAGGACAAAATGCAACCCTTAGGAAGAGAGAATTCAGTGTGACCTGGGATATTCAGATAAATCTGTATGGAGAATGTGATGTGAAAACTGACCTTGGAGGGAGACCAGGATCTGGAGAGACCGAGAGAGAGAGAAAGTCACTGTAGGCATTTCGTATCATCTTTGGGGTAAATCAGGATAATATAACTTTGGTGGAATTCTTTTCATGGCAATATTAGTTTTTTCTCAGAGGTAGCCTTTTATTCCAGTTAGAGGCCATTGTATTTAAAGATGGTGGAGGTGGTAGGGGAGATTGCTCAGGGCTGTACCCTGCCCCTGGTGTGGGCCTCAGGGGTCAAGGGGGTACAACTAGCTCTGCATCCCCTTCTGGACCACGGAGAAATATTGGCCATGCAGGCCAGGAGAAAAAAAACAGAATAGGCTTGGGAGGAACTCACATTTCCTGAGCACCTACCAGTTGCCAGGGCTGCACTGGACTCCTCACGGCAGCGCCGTGACACTGATTCTCTTCATATTTTACTGATGAGGAAAGTGAAGCCCTAGAGAGCAGCTCAGTATCACACAACCAGGATTTGAACCCTTTGGAAAAAAAAAACAAAAACAAATGAAGAACACCCAAAGGAGAACAAACACCTTACGGGGGATTTTATATGTGGGGTATGGTTTGAATTGCACAGGTGTCTCCATGGAAACCATTCTGAAACTCTTTGGAGAATACTTCTTTAAGTTCTGTAAGATGTCCGGCTATGACAGGATGCTACGGACACTGGGAGGAAGTCTCACGGAGTTTATTGAAAACCTAGATGCCCTCCACAGTTACCTCACACTGTCTTATCAGGTAAGGCCTCCTGCGTCTGGTCTTGGTGGCCCCGAGAGGGAGCAAATGCTGTAGCAGCCCGGGGCCAGCTCCCCGCCTCCCCCAACAGAGGTGCTGTTGCAGGGGAGCTGCCCCCGTCAGGCAGAATCCTTGCTCCCTGGTGTCGGTGGGCCCCTTTCTCTTGGGGAAGGAAAGGAAAACAAATACCTGTAGGCCACTTTTATAAACTGGCTGACAAAAATCAAAGAAGGGCAAGCTGGAGGGGCCCAGCTTTAGGGGGTCAGCCTATTTAGTGGGGGCTGTGTGGGTTTGGAATTAAACAGAGGAGGCTGATCACAATGGGAACAAAGGCTGGAAAACAGTCAGGTTTCAGTGGATTTGCAAAATCTCTCCTAAGGTTTCCTGGCCTGGATGGAGCTGATAAACAGCTTATGCAGCCAGATTCATGTTTCTCATGTATCAGAAGGAAAGACGACAGGGCCCAGAGCCAGAATCGGAAACCATCCAACTCTGATTAACCCACAGGGTGACTGACTGAGGTGTTAAGAAACTAATTTCCTCACTGGGATATGTCCTTCTGGAGTTCATTCCTTGGTTTTCTTGTTTGTACAGATAATTGGAATTTCAAATGCCTAAAACTCCCTTTTATTTTTTTAGACAAGAAAATGCTTTATTAGAAACATCAAGTGGCATTTACACATATTGTAATAATAGTTTATTATTTTATATAAAAGAGTCTTACTTTTAGAGCCTTTTATAGTTCACCAAGCTCTTTCTTCACCTCTTCTGTATTTAATGTTCATAACTACCCTTGCAGGGTTGTGGTGAGGGTAAAATGGGATGATACGTGTTAAAATGCATCTGTTATGCATCCTCATTGATGTTAAGTGGGAAAAGCACTATTTTCTCCATTTTTGAGATAAGGAATCATTTTTCAGGTAAGTAGAATGAGTAGCTGGGCCTGTCCTTTTATCACGTGAACTACTCAAGGATAGAGGAAGCACAAAGGACCTTGGCTATGGGGTCAGACAGGCCTACAATGTGATGTGACCAGCTCTGTACCTTCCTAGCTGTGTGATCCTGGACAAGTTACTTGCCTTCTCTGAACCTCAGTGATTTTACTTATTTATTTAATAGATACTCATTGAAAGCCTACTATGTACTAAACACTTCTCAGACACTGGACACAAACAGGGACAAAAAGCAATAACTAGGGAAAAAAAAACCCACCTCTTAGCGATGTGTGGTTTAAAAAAGATAACATGTAAAAGTGCCTAGCATTGTAATCATCCCAGAAAAGGCATTCCATAGCTAATAACTTCCTTTTTCTCTGTTCAATATTGCCAGTTTTCAAATTACAATAATTTACATAGCAACTGTCTTCCAAATTTCTTAGCTAAAGTACAATTAAGATTAAAAAAAAAAATAGACCCCCTTAGTACTCTTCCACAATATTTTTTAATATCACATCTTTCACCTAAAAACTTGGCTATTATATTAAGTCACAGTTCTGAAGAAGGTATTAATAAGTTTTCATTCATTCATTAAATAAAAAAATATTATGGAATATCTTTCATGTTCTAGATATTATTCTCACCATGTTACTATCACCCTTGTGAGTAAGAATGAAAAGAATTGAGGTTCTGAAGTCCCAGGTTTATTATTTTTATACCCAACCCTGCTACCCTTCCTCTGATTGTCACCCCCCTCCCCATCCCATATACCAAAGCCATATTGCTAGAGAAGCAGTAGAACAGAACTTTTCTGGTGGGTATGTGAGGTCATTTTACATATAATGAGACAAATTAAATATTTAAATATTATAATATGCAAGTTGGAATAAAATAAAGGCAAGAATAGCTGATAGCTACACAAGAGTGTTTTATATTGGACAAAGTATTACAGATCGTCTATTTAGGCAAAAATTATAAATAAAGTTAAGGCTGACTTCACATCCGTCTAGTAATTTGGCAGTGCCTTTAAGGCATACATTTCTGGTAATGACTGTGCCTTTAATCTCATTATTTTTTAGCTAACTTTTGAGTGCTAATTATGAGGCAATGCTAGGTTAAGTAATTTATAAACATTGATTTATCTTTTTGACACCCATAAGGTTAAGTATTTTCCCCCTCCCCCCACTATTCAGATGGGAAAACTGAGGTTCAGAAAGGTCAAGTGACTGTCCCAAATCATCCAGGTTATGGTGGCTGAGCTGGGACTCAAACCCAGGTTTGTCTATTTCCAAAGACCATGCTCTGGGCTGCTTCTCATTATATTCCCTTTGTCTTGATTCTCCACTTCTAAAAAGTCCTATTTTAATCAATAAATAAAAGTATAATCATATTATTTAGAGACTTGGAGACATTGGCCAGAAGAATCAAAAGCACAAACTTTTGGAAGTGTCTCTGAACAGAGGCTTGGCTGGGGGTGAGGAGAGACCAGGAAACGGGGGCAGGAGCACATGCATTTCCGCTTTAGCCTCCTGTACTCTATTATTTTGTTTTCTTTATGTAGGGTTCGGATATAATTTGTTAAATTAACTTTCAATTTCCTACTTTATCGTATGCTTTTCATATGTACTGCCTAATATTCTCTTTAGATTTAATCAAGATGTAAACACATCTATATATAAACTTACATACTTTTTCTGTATACGAGGGTACTTAGAACAGTTTGTAGACAAATAGAATTAAAAGATAATACAAATCATCCCATGAGCTTTTTGAAATACCCTTGTATGTACTTTTGGAAATATAAAATAAGTATCTGGGAAAAAAGAAACCCATTTTAACTAGCAACCCATCACCATGGAAGAGGACAAAGATCTCAGAAGGAACACATCCCCTTAACCTCTTCCTTCACTCAGACCAGAAGCTGTGTCCAGGGTGCTATGTGTCGAGGGTGCTACTAACCCAGCCGGGGAAAAAACTGCTTCCCTCAGAGACTCCTCCGGGCAAAGTCTTTATCCTTCTTTCCTAATGTACATCTTGCCTACTGTGAGATGGTGCACGCTTGAGTGTCAACATTCATTCCTAGAGAAAGAGGATCTCTTCAGATGTACCCTGAGGGTTCTGTTTTCCAGAGGTGCAACTTGATACCACAGATGGCATTACTCTTTCAGAAACAAGAAATTAATTAATTTTTCTGGAAATTCCTGCAAGACCCTGACTTTTCTGAGAATGAAGATACCTATGGTCACTTGGTCATAAGCCAACATGGCAGAGACTCACTAAGGCCTCCTGGTACCTACCAGCCAGCTGCCCCGTGGAATATGAGTGGAAGCATCATCGCACGGTGCAAAGGCTCATTTGGGAAGGTCAAACAAGTTCTCCCATTAACCTAGTTTAACTTCCCTGAGCCTCAGTGTCTTCCTCTTTAACATGCAGATAATACTCACCGTTCAGAGTTGCTTAGGGTATAGCAGGTATAGTATAAACTTCCTGATGTAGAATAGCTGAAACCACGGTAGTTTTTATGTGATTGGAGAGAGGTTTGGGATATAGCTCTGTGTGATGTAATGGATAAGTACTATTGTTTTACAAAGCTTCAAAAGCATAATTTAAGCTATTTGTGTTCACTGGGGTGGAAACGTGTTGTGTCTTTAAATTAGGAGATGAATGCACCATCATTTCGAGTGGAGAGAGGAGCAGACGGGAAAATACTTCTCCATTACTACTCGGATAGAAGCGGCCTGTGCCACATTGTACCAGGTATGGCTTAACCAGTCCGAAGCTATGAGCCCTGTGAACTGTGGAAGGCTTCCCACAAATTCCCCAGGGCGGTTAATAGCCAACTGTGGGTAGGGAGTCAAAACTCTACCTCTTACAAAGTCTGACTCCTTGCCATCTTGCCCATTAGTCCCAAAGTTCTTGAGCTTCTAAAATGTTTCCAAAATGCCAAAAGAAGGAATACTGTTTTTCTTTCAACATTTTAAGTTTTTCAGATTTTTACATAGTTGTGATAATTCTGCATATATTATGTATCAGCTCTTTTTCTTTGTATGTAGTATTATAGAAAAAGCATGCCTCCATGTTTTCACATAGTTTTTAAAGCCACATCTTAAATGGCTGAATGATATTCTATACTGTAATTATTTTAACTAGTCCCCTATTGTTGGACTTTTAGTTGATACTAATCTTTTGCTGTTGTAAATAATGTTGTGATAAACATCTTCACACGTGCTTTTCTCATATTTTGTTTTATAATCCTGGGATAAGTTCCCAGAGGAACATTTTTTTTAAAACACAATCCTTAATGCTTTTACAGTTGAGTTTTACTTACATTATCTCCAGAGTTTATTTGTTTAATGAGTTAAATGCCTCCCTAAAATAAACAAATAGGTGTGGAACTAGAAATTAGAGGGGCATGGATATATTTGTTATCCAGACATGTGTAACTTAAATCTCTCCATATTTTAATTTCATTAATCTGTCATATACTGCCTGTCTTGAGGCAGGACCTGGGCTTGTTAAACTCTGCAATATTCACCAGAAGTTGTACACCTTGATTATTTTATGGCTTTTGCTAACACGACTGCCTTCTGCCAACCCTCACCAATATGTGTCCTTCTGCTACAGGTATCATTGAGGCTGTGGCCAAGGACTTCTTTGACACTGATGTGACCATGGATATCCTTGACATGAATGAAGAAATGGAGAGGACAGGGAAGAAGGAGCACGTTGTGTTTCTGATTGTGCAAAAGTCTCGCGGGGCAAAGCCATACAAGTCGCAAGACAGTCAGGACGTTCAGAGAGACCAAGAGGTACCGGGTTTGCTATGTTTTCAGAAAGCACAATTACCCTAAGTAGAGCTGCCAGTCTTGGCACAATCTACGCAAACAACAGAATCATATAATATGAACTTGATAACAGTAGAGTTATGGCAAGATTTCTCAATCTCAGCACTACTGACCTCTTGGACCAGATAATTCTTTGTTGTGAAGGCTGTACTTTGCATTACAGGATATTTAGCAGCTTCTCTGTTCTCTACCCACTAGATGCTAGAAGAACCCTGCTTCTTCGGGTGTGACAATCAAAAATGTCTCCTAGCATTGCCAAGTTTCCCCAGGGTAGGGATAAGGGGATAAAATCACTTCTAGTTGAGAAGTGCTGGGTTAAGGTTAACTGGACATACATTGGGAGGCTTTCTAGAATGTGTCTTAGCCTGGAAAATTTTCACCTATGAAAATACCAGTATAAAGGGTTTAAAATTTGGACCTGTTTGCTTACTTCTCAATCTCCCTAAAATAAGTTGACCTTTCAAGTCCCCACTGCCCAATTCTGCAGCTAAAGCCAGTCACGGGTCTAGAGTCAACCCAAGGTCCTGCACTTAGCCACCTCAATCACAACTTGTAGGGTGACCATTACCTGTTTAGGTGCCACATATGCTAGGTGGACAGCTCTCTGTGTCCACATAGCTTGCACAAATATCCAGATAAGTCTGTGATCCCTGGGGAGAACACAGGTTATGCCTATTGTAGAGCATTCAAAGCCCACTGCAGAGTGTGTTCCCTGCAGAATCTTCAACCACAGGAAGATGTTCCTGTGTGATTTTCCTGCTGCATATCATCCTAGCCCCCTCCTGAGATTTTATAAAAGTTCTTGCTGCCATTGATAGAGAAACAGCACAAGGATTAATTAGATAAAAAATCTTGGGAATTCCAAAGTCTTGGCAGACTTGATCTTGCAAGCCCGCATATGGTTCCTCTGGCTATGGACACTGCTCATTTAGAGATGAACCCAATCACAGCAACAGGGCTTGTACATCTCTAGTCACATGACCAGATATGTGTGCTTCTCCCCCTGTCATCTACAGGCCCCCCAGGCAGCTTTCCTTAGGACAAAGGAGAAATATTTGAGTGTCTCTGCTTGTCCTGTGAAGAAGTCCCACTGGGATACTGTGAGAAGTATAGTCATGTTTGGAAAAGGTAATGGGCTCGTCTCCCAAGCTTGGCTCTTAGAGCAGAACGATTGCTTTGTTCCCAGGGGCAGCAGCTGGTGTACACAGAAGGGGCCAAGCCCTCTATGATTATGATTATGATTATGATTATGATGTCACTGAGTCTGCAGAGCTTGGATTTGTTGGCCACCGGTTTTAACTTTAAAACGTCAGACTATCTTGCCTTCCGTTACCCCTTTTATTTGCACTGGCTGACATGGAGACACTGTCTTCCCTGTAATCAGGAAAAGCCACTGGAGAGAGGATTGGAATCAGTACCAACTGGTGACTGTCGAAGAGAAAGAGGATGGGTACTGATGCATTATCAAGAGCAATGAATTTTCCAAAGCTCCTCTTCTGGGTCAGGCCTTCTCCATGGGGACACATTTCTGGACTGGAAATCTGTGGATAATAACCATGATCTTCCAGTTGTATGAAGGACACTCGATCAATAGCCAAGAAAGCAGATTTCTGGCTCTGTCTCTGAGGAGCTGTGTGACCTTAGACAAAATCCTCCATCTTCCCATTTGTGAAATAAAGGCATTAGGCTCTTTAAGGTGCCCCTGTTGGCACTGGGCTGGTCTAATGACAAGCACCTAACGCCCAAGTCAGAACAAGGGCTCCAACCCACTGGGAGAAGGAGCTAGGACACCTCTGTCATGGCTACCAGGTGGGACGCCGTGCATCTGGGACAAGGTCTGCAGGGCTCCTGCTCAGGGCTGCATTCTCAGTCCTTCAAGCCATGGCAGGCGAGTCAAACATGCAATTGACATCCTTTGTCTAGGAGATTTTCATATCAAAAAGGCTCCACTTCGAATCTCTACCCCCTGCCAAATAGGACTGTTGGTTAAATTTTCATGTGCCACCCAAAACTGTCAGTCTAAAAAGCTCCATGGCAAATGTCCCTGATGCTGGGCCGGGTGCACACGCTCTGCTTTGCTTGCTCATTGTCTGGCTGTCACCATTTCAATGCCGACTCTGTTTTCATGGCGAGACATACTCAATTGGCCCAGAAACTCTTCAGCAGCGGGCAGAAACTTGGCAGGGGGCAGGAGGGCTTCTCAACCTGGTAGCAAGTTTTCTGTTTGTTTTAATTTGGAAGAATTGCCGTGGCCATCTGGAGACGCTGAGGGAGCCCATGCTAAAGAACAGGGATTGTACTTTTCCTGTGAAACACTTAAGATCTATCCCTATGCTGAGCTTTGCTCTGTGCGAGGCGGTGGGGGGAGCCGTCTCTCATGAGGACTTCCTTTTTCTGTGTCCAGGGCATCTCATGAACACCTTCGAGCCAGTTTATCCTGAGAGGCTCTGGATTGAAGAGAAGACGTTCTGCAATGCGTTTCCTTTCCACATTGTATTTGATGAATCAGTAAGAGGCCTGATTTATAGTGTTTTATAGCTAGTGGGGACTTTCAAGTCTCTGAGAAGTTCCCAGAGTTTGGGAGACTAGGCTTTAGCCTGGCAGGACCATTGACTTGCTTTTCATATTGTGGCATCCTTCAGAAACCAGAATGCAGGGTCTTCGTGATGGGGATGGGAGGGAGCAATGCCAAGTGGTTGCATCTAGAGAATGCATGGGAAGGTTTGCCACTGGGGAAAAGGAAGGGGCGCCAAAGCTCAGTACACAGAGATAACAGCACACTTCAGTAGCAACAGAAGTGTGCAGTCCTAAATGCCGCCTCTTGCTCATCTGTGGGGCCACTGTGAATGTCTCAATCCTGTCAAGCTTTGCTTTCTGCATTCTGAAGGTCAGGGAGAGGTCAGTGCTGACCTCATGCCGTGCTCTGTGGAAACTGTGAGCATGACCATAAAATATATATCAACTGAATTGATTATGAACTCATTTAAAGGGCAATTAGGCAGAACAAATTTGGTCAAAAATCATTTTAAATTCCTTCAGCTATTGTGATTTTCTCTATTTACTTGAACACATAGACATATTAAATCATCACCTACCCGTTGACTGCTTGATACAGATTCTATCAAATTTATTCCTTTGAGGATAGTCTCTGCTTACAAAGAAATTATGATGTAACTGAAGTAAACTAACAGCCCATATGAAACAACTAGGAATTCAAAAGCAATGTACCTCAATTTTTCCCCAGTGCCACAATGATATTATTATTATTGCCACTATTAATATTTTAAATTCTGACTTTCTTTAAAAACTCGCTTTCTTTTTAACATTTGGGCCTAGAATAATAGAAAATTTAATGATACGTTTCCAAAAGGTTAGGTTGATTTCTATGGCCTAACAGAGTTCCCACTGTTAATGAGTTAAGTATTCCTGGACAGTCTGTGCTGGCATTGGACACTGTATGACAAGGATGCCCATGTTACTTTTTCCTCTGTGTGTTCCGTGCAGATAGCAGCGAAAGCATCTCCCACCCCCTTACCCAGGCCTGGGTGTCAGCTTTAATGCTATAGAATTTGCTAGTTTCTTTAACAGTAATGAGAGAGAAAGAGAGGGAGAAGAAGAAAGAACTATTTGCCCCATTGAGAGTTCTAACCTCTGTTTCTTGTTAGTCAAAAATAGGCTTCTGAGTATTCTTATACTATCTTTTCTCTTTCAGACATTAGCTACAGATTTGTTTAAAAAAATGTTTATTGCTTCCATGATGTTTATTCCATTTCTGAGCCTTTTGCCCCCAATGGGTCACAAAGCATGGCCAAAGTGTTATTTCTAAGAGCAAGTTTATGGTGGAGATTGCCTTCTATTCCCCAGCCTAACATCTGTCCCCTGTGAATAGCTGAGGGTCAAGCAAGCCGGAGTGAACATTCAGAAGTATGTCCCAGGACTCCAAACCCAGAAGATTCGATTAGATGAATGTTTCTCCATCATTCATCCTCAAGTTACCTTCGACATTTTCAGCATCTGCAAATTTATCAACAGTCCATTTGTCCTGAAGACACGAAGGGAAATGCTGCCTGAAGCATGGAAAAGCCAGCCCACACTCAAACTCCGAGGTAATAGTGCACCCCTTGCCTGCTGCTCCCTGCCTGTTTGGGAGCTTGATCAGAAAGGGAAGAGGCAGAGTTTTCCAATTTCCTAAAAAGTGGGGCAGGGACTATATTGAGAACAAGTGGGTTTTCTTTTTTTTTTGACATTTCCACTTGACCTGATTTATAAACAATATATTTTATTTCCTCAACTATTTCTGGTTTAGACATAAATGAAATATATGTAGGCACATATATGTAAAATGTAGTTATATGTCTAATTTAAAATTTCTGTAATTATAAAATTCTGGTCTCTGTTACTAAAATTTTCAGAATACATGAGCTACTACTGGTATTAATATAATGTCTGTCCTTTATATAACAACATGATCATCTGAGCTACTGTTAGTAGGGCACGCTTTTTGTTTTTAATTGTGGTAAAATTTACATAACATTTACAATTTTAACCATTTTTAGATGTACAGTTCATTAGTATTAAGTGCATTCACAAGTTGTACAACCGTCACCACCAGTCCACCCCCAGAATGATTTTCATCTTTGGCAAAACTGAAACTCTGTATCTATTAAACAATATCTCCCCATTCTGTCTTCCTCCAGCCCCTGGCAACTATCATTTTACTTTCTGCCCTATGAACTTGACTACTCTGGTACTTAGGTGAAATGTATAGTATTTATCTTTTTGTGACTGGCTTATTTCACTTAGCATAATGTCCTCCAGATTCATCTGTTTTGTACCATGTGTCAGACTTTCCTTCCTTTTTAAGGCTTAATAGTATTCAACTGTATGTCTATACCACATTTTCTTTATCCATTCATCTGTTGATGGACACTTGGGTTGTTTCCGCTATTCGGCTATTGTGAACTCTACTACTATGAACATATAGTTTGGTATACAAAGGTCTCTTTGAATCTATACTTTCAATTCATGTGAGTATACACCCAGAAGTGGAATTGCTGGATCATATGGTATTTCTATATTTAATCTGTTGAGGAACTGCCATAGTGTTTTTCATAGCTGCTGCACTATTTAATGTTCCCATCAACAGCACACCAAGATTCCAATTTCTGCACATCGTCCTGAACACTTATTATTTTCTGGGTTTTTTTCTTTCTTTTAAATGGTGGCCATCCTAATGGGTTTGAAGTGGTATCTCATTGTGGTTTTGATTTGCATTCCCTAATGATTAGTGACATTGAGCATCTTTTTTTTTTTTTCCTTTTTGTCTTTTTTCGTGTCCGGCAACGGATTGCAACCCTCAGTGTTGCGCCCGTACCGGACCCGGACTGGCAACGGGATCTTTCCTTTTTGTCTTTTTTCGTGTCCGGCAACGGATTGCAACCCTCAGTGTTGCGCCCGTACCGGACCCGGACTGGCAACGGGATCGTAACCCTCGGTGCTGCGCCCGCACCTCGCTCAGCCAGTGAGCGGGAACCAGTCTGTATGTGGGATCCGAACCCTTGACGGGAGCGCCGCTGCGCTCCCAAGCGGCGCACTGTAGCAGTGCGCCACCCGGCCGGCCCATTGAGCATCTTTTTATGTGCTTATTGGTCATTTCTACATATTCTTTGGAGAAATATCTATTCAAATCTTTTGTACATTTTTAAATTCGGGGGTTTTGTGGTTGTGGAATTTCTTTATATATTCTGGATATTAGCCCCTTAGCAGTTACGTGATTTGCAAATATTTTCTCCCATTCTGTGGGCTGCCTTCTCATTCCACCTGTTGATTGTGTCCTTTGATGCACAGAAGTTTTTAATTTCAATGTAGCCCAATTTATCTATTTTCTCTTTTGTTGTCTGTGCTTTTGGTGTCACATCCAGGAATTAGTTGCCAAGCCCAATGTCATGAAAATTCTCCTCTGTTTTTTCCTAAGAGCTCTACATTTAGGTCTTTGATTCATTTTGAGCTAATTTTTGTGTATAGTTTAAGGGGGCACACATTTGAGCTGTATTTCTGTTTACTGATGATTAGGTGTTCCAGGCACAAACACAGGCAGAGCTGAGGGAATGTCTGAGAGGAAAATGACGTGTTCTGGGAACCCAAGTGAGTTGTAGGGTGGTGTGATGGAAGACAAGGTGGCATGATGAGGATCTGAACTTCATTATGCAGCTGGAAACATTTTTATGTGTCTGCTGTAGTCAGATTTGAGGCTTAGAATGATCACTCTGAGGCCAGCCCCGTGGCGCACTCGGGAGAGTGTGGCTCTGGGAGCGCAGCGACGCTGCCGTCACGGGTTCGGATCCTATATAGGAATGGCCGGTGCACTCACTGGCTGAGCGCCATGCGGGTGCACCAAGGGTTGTGATCCCCTTACCGGTCACAAAAAAGACAAAAAAAAAAAAAAAAGAATGATCACTCTGGAGGCGTGTGAAGGACGGATCACAGCGTAGAGAAGACTCAGCCTGGGAGCCAGGTCGAGGCTACCGCAGGCTGCAGGTGAGAAGCTTTAAGGGGCTGAATGAACTCAGACAGCAGCACTGGGGGGCAAAAAGGCTACAGATTTATGAGATAATTAAGATAGGACTTGATGAGTGGATGTGGAGGTTGAAAGAGAGAATAGTGAGGATAATTATTAGCTTCCCTACTTGGGTAAATGGGATGAAGGTGTGATTAACTGAGAAAGGACATGACCTAAACTCAGGGGTTTTTGTCAGTCTGAGTCACCACTATATCCTCAATGCCTAAAACCGTGTGCCTAGCTCATAGTAGGGACTAAAAACATATATGACGAAAAAATTAGTAGAGAAAGAAGATTTGTAGAGGGGACTGAAAGTGAGGTCAGTTGTAGACATCCATGAAAAAATATGTAATAAGAGATAAAGAAAAAACCCACTGTTGATGAAAGTATAAATTGTCACAATCATCTTAGAAGGCAATTTGGCAGTATGTATCAAAGGCCTTAAAAATGAGCATATTCTTCGTCTAAGTAATTCCATGTGGAAGAATATACCCTTTACCAAAATAGCCCCGATCACACACAAAGACTTTCCTCAAGCTTATTCATTGCAATGTGGTTTATACAATGATAAACTAGACATAATATCATCAATTCTAGCTTATTATTTAAATAAAATGTGGCATAATCAATGTAGCCAGCAAAAATTATGGTGCATATCTATATTTAATGCTATGGAAAAATATCTATTTATTATTTTTTAAGTAAAAAAATCAGATTACAAAAAGAAGATGCAATATTGTATTAGTCCACTTCTGTTGTTTATAACAAAATATCTGGAACTGGGTACTTTATAAAGAAAATGAAATTTATTGCTTACAGTTTCAGAGGCTGGGAAGTTCAAAGCTCAGGGAACACATCTGGCGAAGACTCTGTCCTGGTGGTGATTACGACGATTCAGGGTATCACATTTTGAAATGGTGGAGCAGAAAGAGAGACTAACCTCCTCATTCACTCTCTTTGTGAAGCCCTCAGAACCATGCCCCTGACCACCATTATTATTCATTCACTAGGGCATGGCCCTACAATCTAATCACCTCTTCAAGGCCCCACCTTTCAATTACCGTAATAGGATTTCCCACCCTCAACAGCTACAATTGGGATTTAAGCTTCAATGAGGTTAGGGGCATCCAAGTCTACAGCATATATGATCCCAGTTTTTTTTTTTTTTACTGATACAAAATTATACTCCAAAATATTACCAGTAGTTATCTGTGTGGTGAGATTATGAAGATTTTTACTATTTTCTTTCACTTTTTTCATTTTTTTTTTTTTTTTGCAATGAATGTGTATTGCCTTTATAATAAGATAACAAACATATCTATTTTAAAAGAAATACACATCTCAAGTTTAGGAAGCTAAGTTTCTCTGGAAATTCAGATTTATTGTCAGCATGGTGTGGGATACAGGATGTAATGCTAAAAGTGAAGAAAACTAAGGCACTCATATTTAAGGAAAGAGCCAAAAACCCTAAAGGAATCATTCAAAGTAGGGGAAATCTCAGAGAGAGAGCAGGGTCAGAGAAGCCCCGGGATGCGAGGTTGCAGGAAGGAGGGTATGGTTAAGACCATCAAACAGCAGAAGGGCCGAGGAAAGAAAAGAATGAGACCTGTGTTGGGGTCGGCAGTTTGGAGGCCACTGATGGGAGCCACCTCAAAGTAAGAGCAACAGCCCAGGAGAAAGCCGTAGTGGAGAGGGGCTTCCGTGGGTATTCAAAGCAGAGGCAGCTCTCAGGGAATTGTGCACACGGGGGAGGAGTGTGGCTGTGCAGGGGCTGCAGGGCACACTGTGCAGGTGACGACTGGCTATCTGGTGAGCTCGTCTCCTCCCTGCTGGTGACATACTCTGTGGTCGCATTTCTCTCCATGATTGACCGGAAGGCCAGATGATCTGGATGGAGTCCATGCGCTGCATGATGTACCTGTGCTCTCCCAAGCTCCGCAGCCTGCAAGAGCTGGAGGAGCACGACATGCATCTCTCTGACATCGCCCCCCACGACACCACCAGGGATCTCATCCTCCTGAACCAGCAGCGGCTGGCAGAGATCGAGCTGTCCAACCAACTGGAGACGAAGAAGGAGGAGCTGCGCGTGCTCTCCAAGCACCTGGCCGCGGAGAAGAAGAAAACGGAGACGTTGCTTTATGCCATGCTGCCTGAGCACGTGGCCAACCAGCTGAAGGAGGGCCAAAAGGTGGCTGCAGGTAAGGCGACCTTCCATGCACAAGGGCCTCTGAGCAGGGGCAGCGAGCCCAAGTGCTTAGGGGCACCGGCTTTGCACCCAGGCAGATGCGGGTTTGAATTGTGACTCCCTCACTTGTAAGTGGCATGCTCCCTGGGAAGTTAATTTCTTAACTTGCACATCCTCGGCTTTCTTCTCTCTACATTGAGAATAATGAAAAGAGCACAGGAGGGAAAATGGATTAAATAAAAACGGCTGTCAACTATACACACCTAGAGTAGGTTCTCTAAAAATTTAGGCTGTGTCCTGAGACTGGCCTCACTGCTCAGTGATCATGAGTAGGGTTCTTAACTATAATTAGAAATAATGCACTCACACATTAGCTAAATCCTGGGGCGCCTCTGAGGACCATCCTGGGAGAGCAAGCAGTTTCTGGAGGGAGGGGCACTGTTTCCTCTGGACTCACATCCCCTTTTACACAGGTGTGTATTCACTCTCCAGACAAGCCTGGTCGCTGTACCAGGTGTGAGGGACTCAAAGGGTTGACAGCCTTGTGGGTTTGACAGATATTTACAGAATAAATTAATGGGTGTGGGAATGGCCAAAGGAAAGAAAGCTGATGTGCATTAAGAAGAATTGTTGTGCCAGGAACCGTGTTAGACGTGTTGCATATGCTCTGTCATTACATTTTCTCAACGTTTCTGAGGGATATGTTACCCATACTATTCATCTGAGCAAATTAACACTCGCCCCAGCTTATGAGTAAAAGAACTGGAAATGAATCACATTAAGTCCATCTAACTCCAAAATCCATACTCTTCCCACCACATAAGGTGCGGTGGAAACACGGGTGAAAGAGAAATTAATAATAAATAGATGTCAGGAGAGAAAGAGACAGGGGACAGGGTGGGGATGTGAAGGCACGTCACCAAAGTTTGTGGCACTTGAGCTGGGCCTTGAGGCTGAATTTCAGGAAAGAAGGAAAAGCATTTCAGGAGAGTGCGGTAGCAGCAGCAGCAGTGGTAAGGCACAGTGGGCATAAATACTGTGGTACACTCTCCCCAGAACATCGGGGTACAGGGGAATCTGCTGAGGCTGGGGAGTAGGGTGAGCCCACGTGATATGGTGGTCAATCTGGTTACCACGGAAAGGCAAGTTGCTTTTATTTTGTAGGCACTGGGGATTTATTTAAGTTTTTTTTTTTCTTACAATGGAAGTGACATGGTTAGTTGTGTAAATGCCATTTTGGCTGCAGTGTAGGGACGCATTAGAGGGAGGCAGACTGAAAGCCCGTCAGAGTCCAGCTGATGATGGGAAAGCTTGCACGAAGGCAGTGTGAGGAGGACTCGGTGGGATTTCACAACAGATACGGTGGGGATGAAAGAGTCAGTCAGTGAAGAGGCTGAGGTTTCTAGCATGGAAAAGTATGAGATGTTATCCTAGGACAGAACCAGAAAGAAGAGCAGCCTTGGGGGAGGAAGGTCAGTTTTAGAACCGTGGAATCTGAGATGTCTGGATACTCCACATAGCATGACCAGCAGGTAAATAGCAATTGCAGGGGAGCTCAGGGGAAAATTCTAGCTTGGAGCTCTGGAGTTACCGCAGTGTGGATGGTGGTTAATCACAGACTCTAGGAATGACGGATAAGGGATCCAGGGGGTGTGAGGTGAGATGAGAAGAGGGTGGGGTACTGAACCTTAGGGAACATTTATTATTTAAGAAGAAAGAAAAGCCTGTGAAAGATGTAAAACAGGGAGATCAGAAAGGTAGGAAGAATATGAAGAGACAATGGTAGGCCAGAACCAAATGGAAGAGAAAGTAACATGAAGGGAGTTTATTACCAGAGGTATGAATGGTATAGAAGGCACTTACAGTGTTCAAGGAGTCGTCCATTCAATCACTCAGCAAACATTTATTGAGCATCTACTATGTGCCAGACCCTGCTCTAGGTGCTAGGGACACAAGCACCCCATCTCATGGAGATTAGTCTTCCAGCGGGGGAGGGAGACAATGACCAAACAATTTCATAAAAAATACCATGCCACATAAGTCTTGTGGAGCTGGGGGCAGGCAATCAGGCTAAGAGGATAGAATCTAGGGGCTGTTAGTTTACACAGGGTGGTTGACAACATTTTCACTGAGGGAGTTACATTGGAAATGTGAGGCACAGACTCCTGTGGATATCTGAGAGAAGAGTATGTCAGGCAGAGGAAATAGCAGGTACAAAGGCCTTAAGGCTGGAGGCACTTAACGTGCTGGAGAAACCCCAAGGAGGCTAGTGTGGCTGGAGAGGAGTGAGCCAGAGGGACACGAGGTCAGAGAGATGGCAGGATGGAGGCGGGGGTCTGCTTTGTGGGCCATGGTAAAGATTTTTGGCTTTCATTCTAATTGTGGTGGAAGTAGTGGAAGACTTGAGGCAGAGGAAGGGGGGATCTGGCTTACAGAGGACATTTGGCTGCCACAGAAATTAGCACGAGTAGAGGCCAGAGTGGAAGCAGGGGCATGACGTGGGAGGACGTGTTGAGGCTGTGGTTGCTTCCCTGCCATATAAAGACAGGACACTCACCACTTCATGTTGACCAGCCTCTATCAACCCTGCCCTGGGTCTCCTGCAGTCGAGGCTTTGACTTGGCCCACTTCCTAGGGGCAACCTCTGTTGTCCCACAGCACTGGTCACTTCTTATTGGAAGTATTTGTTTGCTTTTACGTCTCCTTCACTAGACTGGGAGCTCCTTAAGGGCAGTGGTCCTGTCTGCTTGCTTCACATGATATGACTCTCCTAGCACGATGACTAGCTCATAGCGGGCACTCAATAAATGTGCTCGTAGCGGGCACTCAGTAAGTGTGCTCGTAGCGGGCACTCAATAAATGTGCTCGTAGCGGGCACTCAGTAAGTGTGCTCATAGAGGGCACTCAATAAATGTGCCCGCAGCAGGCACTCAGTAAGTGTGCTCATAGCAGGCACTCAATAAATGTGCCCGCAGCGGGCACTCAGTAAGTGTGCTCGTAGCAGGCACTCAATAAATGTGCTCGTAGCGGGCACTCAGTAAGTGTGCTCGTAGTGGGCACTCAATAAATGTGCTCACAGCTGGCACTCAATAAATGTGCTCATAATGGGCATTCAGTAAATGGCTATTGAATGCCTGGGTGAATAGCATCTGGCTGCTTTTCCCCAAGGCACAGGCAAGTAATTCTCAAAGGGTGCTCAAACCCAGAATTTATATAATTATTGTCCTATATCCTTGGCTATCACTGATACCTGGTTTCTGTTGCAGGAGAATTTAAAACCTGCACAATCCTTTTTAGCGACGTGGTGACATTTACTAACATCTGTGCTGCTTGTGAACCTATCCAAATAGTGAATATGCTCAATTCAATGTACTCCAAGTTTGACAGATTAACCAGTGTCCACGAGGTCTACAAAGTAAGTGTCTGTGCAGTGCAGGTGTTTCATGGTGTGCTCTGGCAGGGCAGGAATTTGATTCTAAGTCTTCCTTTGCCTCTATCTGCACTAGTCTGGGGTTTGGTGTGGATGGGAGTGGGATGAAGAAGAAAAGCTGAAAGAGAATTGGAAATATTTTAGGAATTTTAGTTTTTTAGGAATCCTTTTATAATACCCAGTGCTAAGATGATGACCTGGTGCCTCTGAGGGACAAATACTGTTTTCCCAGAGAATAGTTCTCCTACTCTTAAATTCAGCAGAAGAAAGTCTAATCCAAGTAATGTGTTATGTAATGTACGGCATCATATGACTTTTCCAGGAGCTTCATCTCCCCTGGGATTTCTTTCCAGAAAAATCAGGAAGGCCTTTTGGCTCTCTCATGTCTGTCTCCTGAGTCATTTTTCTTCTCACCTGCTCCCTCATGCTCCTCAGACCCCTGGCAAAGAATCACCAGTTTTTGTCAATATGTGGAAAATAACAAACATATTTAGTGACATATTTAGTAAGGAATACCCATCTTTTTTCCTGACAGGTAGAAACAATAGGAGATGCTTATATGGTGGTAGGCGGCGTCCCAGTGCCTGCTGTGAGCCATGCTCAAAGAGTGGCCAATTTTGCCTTGGGGATGAGGATTTCTGCAAAAGAAGTGATGAATCCTGTTACTGGAGAACCCATCCAGGTAGAGAGCAACTGTGTGCTTGGCTTAATACCAAACATAGCGCACACAGTAGTAGAATTTTACTAGTCCGCTTAGGTGTTATTGGGTACGTTACTGTAATTAAAATGGGTAATTCCTCCCAATTCTTTTCTTCTCTTGCATATGTTCCTAAGTAATAGAGATGTTAGTAAGGGTATCACAGTCTCAACCTCTCTCAATTTTATGAGGCTGTGGCACTCGGGATTTTCCTGTGATTCACTGCAAGCTTCCTTTGTCCCTAACTTAGGACAGCACTGAGCACGTCTCCCTATTTATCTTGTAGGGTTCAATCCATCTTGAAAGCCAGCTCATTTATAATTCCTGCTTTTTTTGTTCAAGCATTTCAACAAGTGGTTCAGGTTTACTGAACAGCCAACTCTTCCTGCTTAGGGAAATTATGTATCCAACATGCCATCTGACAGGTTCAGAACTCAGGCTGGGGTGTGAAGCTGACTTCAGCCAGCAGGTGAGACACCAGGATGCCAGAGATATTCAGAATGGCTTTCCTTCCATCCTGTGGCCATCGACGAGACGTCTGCTCGCCTTTCTCACAGGAAGCTCCTCTTCCAAGTATGGAAGTTTGTTCACACTGTAAAAGTTGGACAGTTTTAGCGATAAAAATTAAATGTCCTCTTCTGCCAGCTCAGCAGATCCTAATCCTCCTGAGTTGGCTTAGAGTGGTGTCTCTCTGCCTTTTGATATCTAGATCCCTCCCAGGCTCATGTTAGTAAAAAATTCAAAATAAACTAAATAGCTGACTAAAAATGAATAAAACCAAGTATGAGATGGAATATGATTTTTCCAAATTATAAATCCTTTGCAGGAGATTCTGAAATGTTCTCTTGCCCTCACCACAGTGATGTATAAGCTGAGAAATATTCCTCATCACTGTAGTCTTCTGAGTCAAAGCTGTCTTGGGCGATCACAAGAGCAAAACATGAACGATACTTGACTCATTGTAAACACACGATATGCATCTGTTGAATAAAAACCTCAATGTAATAAATAAAAAATCAGGATGGGAGGTAATGAGAGAGTAGGTATAAGATAGTCAGATAAGAAATGAGCGTTTCAGTTAAAGGACTCCAGTGTAAGTCACTGAAGAAAAAATAATTGAAAATATTTGATTGTGTAAATAGAAAGAGGTGTGTGTATGTGTGCATGTAGGAAAGGGGCACAGCAACAGAGAAGACATAATGCTACATCAATAAGAATGAAAATAAACAAGGACTTCCTAGAAACTCTCATGGTGGATTTACCAAGAAAAACACAGGAAAGGATGTTAGCAATTCTAGCATAAGAATAGAGACACAGTTAGGAGCACCTTAGATACCCACCAGAAACAGCATATCATGTGGGTTTATTTAAGGAAGTAGGGGAAAGGACTGGAAACTTTTTTTTTCCTTTAGAGAATTGTGCTGCCATTTCTACAGTTTTAAAATTAGTGCATATTGAGATCCTTTATTCTTTCATTCATATAGCCTTTCATATACATTTACTGAGATCCTACTATGTATGAGACAGTGTTAGTAGGTGCTTTGAGGGATTCAGAGACATATATTGACAAGCTCTTTTCCTAAAGGAATTAATAATCTGGTTAGGATGTAGAAAGCTGCAAGAGATGCTGTTTCCATCCTAGTAGGTTTTTTTTTTTTTTTTTAATTCCATAAGACGACAAAAAAAAAAACCCAAAAAACTAAAGAAACTAAATTCTAGAAAGTGGCAAGCGTTTTCAAGGAGAAGGTATTCATAATTATGTTTATTCCTCATAGGAGAAATAATCCACCAGATATGAGGGTAAGGAGAAATGGGTCTAAATTTTAGTGAACTTCTAATAGCCACACGTAGGCTGCAATGACAGTTTAGAATCCTAAAGAACCCCTGCTATAGAGTCTGTAGCCATCCACCAACTCTTTCCACAGGGCCCCTCTGAGCACATGGGGCTACTGAGCAGGTGTTGAGTGCTTGGGTTCCCCAGCCAAAGGGGGACAAGGGGGGAGAGCTGAGAGAGCCCCCTGTCCCTGAGGTGTATGGGACCTCTCCCAAATGCAAGGCAGTGGCCCATGAAGGGCTAGTGTAGAAAGAGAACTGAGAGAAATCCCTTTGAGGTACTCTTGTCTATCACCAAGAACACCACAATTACCCTTTGAAGTCTGGGGGCAAAGAAGAATGACACAGAGAAATCTTCCCTGTGCAAAGAGTCAGGGTGGGACTAATGAGTAGAGAGATCCCCCCAAATACCACAGTTGGGCTGTAAAGCAGAAAGAGAGCTCCTAAAATTTACAGCTTGGCTGTAAAACATCAAGAGGTTTTCAAAGTCTTGCTGGTGCTCAGATTTGAAGCCCTGCTGGAGTGAAAGTTCTAATCTAGCTTCATAACATTTGAAACCAGTGCTGCATAGAATTTAGCAATATCTCTGCAAAAAGCCCAGACCCAACTCAAGTACAGATTAAATTCATTCAGTCTTCACTCTAGCAGCTTGACAGGAGAAAGGGTATGACCTTTTCTGAGAGGTAAAAATTATCTACTTCAGCCTCTACTATTTTTTCACACACAATATGGGCCATACAATTAAATAATTTAAAATACAAGATGCAAGAAGAAACAAGAAAGTGGTAATGTGATATATACCAATAGGGAAAATAGTCAATAGAAACAGGTCCAGAGATGGCCTCAATGTTGGTATTATTAGGCAGGGTCTTTAAAATAACTCTGATAAATATTTTAAAGGACCTACTAGAAAAGGTGAAAAACAAGTGTGAACAGATGAGAAATATATATGAGTGTACTTCAGAAAGTTCATGGAAAGACTCTTTCTATCTTTCAATTCTATTTTCCCATTAACTTTTCAAAGTACCCTTGTACACAGGCTAATATATATATATATATATATATATATATATATATATCTGTATTTGTATCTATCTATCTGTCTATATCTAAAGCTATATCTATATAAAATGGAAATGAAAACTATGAAGTCAGAAATAAAGAATTTATTTTATGGGTTTAACAGAGACTAGACACAATAGAGGAAAGATCCAGAGAATTTGAAGAAAGAGCAATAGGAATTATCCAGACTGAAACATAAGGAAGAAAACAGTGAAACAAAATGGAACAAAGCAGTTTAGATCTGTATGACAATATCAAATGAACTCCCATATACAGAACTGGAGTTCTAGAAGAAGAATAGAATTAGAAAGGATTGGAAGATATAGAAGAATATCTTTGGGAAGTAGGGATAGGTGAAGAGCCTTAGCCATAACACAAAAAGAACTATCTATAAAAGAAAACATTAATAAGTTGGACTTCATAAAAATTTTTTTTTTTCCTTTTTGTCTTTTTTACTGACCGGTAACAGGATCGCAATCCTCGGTGTCACGCCCGTACCGGGGACTGGCAACGGGATCGCAACCCTTGGTGTTGCGCCCGCACTGTGCTCAGCCAGTGAGCAGGAACCGGTCTCCACATGGGATCCGAACCCTCGGCGGGAGCGCCACCGCGCTCCCAAGTGGCGCACTCTCCAGTGCGCCAACGGGCCGGCCCAGGACTTCAGAAAAATTTAAAAATTTTGCACTGCAAAAGACCCTGTGTGATGATTAATTTTATGTGTCAACTTGACTGGGCTATGGGCTGCCAACATATTTGATTAAATATTATTTCTAGAGAAAAAAAAAGAATGGGTTGGAAGAAATATTTGAAGATATAATGGTTGAGAATTTCCAACACTTATGAAGGGTATCCACCCCCGTATCCAAGAAATCACTTCAGTTAAAATATACCAAAAGCCCTACCCAGTGCAATAAAGCAAGAAAAATAAATATAAGTTAAGACTGGAAAGGAAGAAGTAATATTAGCATTATTCACAGACCAAATAATGTTGCACCTAGAAAACCTTATACAAATGACAGAAAAGTATAAGATCTAATCAATGAGTTTAGTGAGGTTACAGAAAGCAAGAACAGTACACAAAAATTAATTAAATTTATATTTGCTAAGAATGGACAATAGAAAAATTAAAATTAAAATAAAATAAAACTATTTACATTCCTAGGAATAAACCTAACAAAAGATACACATGATTTCTATGCTGAAAACTACAAAAGATTGCTTAGGGAAAATAAAGACCTAATTAAATAGAGATACATCACATTCATGACTGGAAAACTCAATATGGTTAAGGTGTTTATTCTCCTCAAACAGATGTATAGGTTTAGAAGAATACCAGTCAAAAATCCCATCAGGCATCTTCGAAAATATTGACAGGTTGATTTTAAAACTTATATGGAAATATAAAGAATCTAGAAGAGCCAAAATAATCCTGGAAAATACAAAATTGGAGGATGTACACAACTTAATCTCAAGACTGATTTTAAGGCTAGGGTAATAAATATGGAATGGAATTGGCAGAAGGATAGACAAAGAGATCATTGGAGCAGTACAGAATGTCCAGAAATGACTACATATTTAAGGTCAATTGATTTTTGACCAAGACACTAAATCAATTCAGTGAGGAAGGTGATCTTTTTTTCAGAAGTGGTTCTGTTACAATTTAATATTATATGAAAAGGAAAAAATATACCACAATCCTTCCTCACTCCATATACAAAAATTAACTTGATATGAATCATGGACCTAAACAGAAAAGTTAGAATCATAAAGCTTCTTGATGGAAATATAAGAGAATAGCTTCATGACTTTAATTTCTTAGATGGGACACAAAAAGCACTAACCATGAAAGGAAAAAAAAATGATGAACTTTGTTGTTCTGGGCCAAATTGTGCCCCACTCACCCTTCAATTCATATGTTGAAGCCCTAACCCTCAGTGTCACAGAATGGTGACTGCATTTGGGAGAGGGCTTTAAAGAGGTGATAAAGCTAAAATGAAGCCTTAAGGGTGGGCTCTATTCCAATCTGACTGATGCCTTTATATGAAGGAGAAATTTGGACACTCAAAGGGACAGTAGGAATGCACGTGCACAGAGGGACGGCCATGTGAAGACCCAGCAAGAAGACAGCCATCTGCAAGCCAAGCAGAGAGGCCTCAGGAGAAACCAAACTTGCAGACAACTGGATCTTAGATTTCCAGTTCCCAGAACTATGAGATAGTTGATTTCTACTGTTTCAGCCACCCAGCTGGTGGTAATTTGTTATGGCAGCCCTAGCAAACTAATACATTCATCAGAATTAAAAATTTCTGCTTATTAAAGAAAACGAATATACAAACTCACAGACTAAGAAAAATATTTGTAATACATACAAGGGTACTTTTAAAAACTCATGGAAAAATAGAGTTAAAAGGTGATATGAATCTTTCCATGGGCTTTTTGAAGACTGCTCATACATATTGCATATCCAAATATGTAGAGAATTTATACACATTAACAATAAAAGATTAACAACCCAATTTTTGAAATGGGCAAAATAATTGAACAGACTTTTCACAAAAGAAGATATTTGAATGGACAATATATATGGGAAAATGTGCTTAACCTCATTAGCCACCAGAAATGCGAATGAAAACCACAGGGAGATATCATTTCACACCCACTAGAAGACCAAATGGTGGTGAAAAGTGGAGCAACTGGAAGTGTCACATTGCTGGTAGAAATGGAAAATGGTACAATGACTTTAGAGGATTGGGCAGTATTTGTTTTATTTTTGTAAAATTAAATATGTATTTACCTTGTGACCCAGAAATTCCACTTCTAGGTATTCACCTAAGAGAATTGAAAACATATGTCCACAAAAATATCTGCACAAAAACGTTCATAGTAGCTTTAATTATAATAGCTCCAAACTGGAAATAATCTAAATGCTCATGAAGAGAATGGATAAACGAATCATGGTGTGTTCTTACAATAGAATACTCCTCAGCATTAAAAATAGTCAGCTACCGATACACACAATATGGATGAATCAAAAACATTATGTTGAGTAAATGATGTCAGACATAAAACAGTATGTGCTATATAATTTCATTTAGGTAAAGTCCTAGAACAGGCAAATTCATCTTTGGTAAAAGAAATAAGAATGTAGTTATCTCTGTTAGGGGGGATAGGGAGAGACCTTAACTGGAAAGGGGCACAAGATAATTTTGCAAGGCAGTGGAACTATACTACATTTTATTTTGGATAATGGTTACAGGGATGTATGCACTTGTCAAAACTCATGGAGCTAAATACTTAATATCTGTATTTTTTTTTTTTTTTTGTAAATTATACCTCAATTTGAAAGTAAAAGCAAGAGTATTAGATGGTCTCTTTTCAGTGAGATTTTCTCTGTACAGATAAGAGTGGGGATCCATACTGGACCAGTCTTAGCAGGTGTTGTGGGAGACAAGATGCCACGGTACTGCTTGTTTGGAGACACTGTGAACACAGCCTCTAGGATGGAAAGTCATGGGCTTCCCGACAAAGTGCATCTCAGCCCCACAGCTTACAGGTAGCCATTCATTTATTCATGCCTTCCTTTGTCCCTCCCTCCTTCCAGAATTTCCAGAGTGCTTAGCAGCCACTGGATGGGGGTGGTGGAGGAAACACATGTTTTTCCTCCCATGCATCACCGGCTTACAGAAGACATTCATTGTGCCAGACAGTAAATACTGCTTAGCCTCTACTATAACATAGTTTTTACCAAGAAGCATATAATTTAGCGTAGGGAAAAGCGAATTATAACCCAGAGGCCAAATTCAATCTGGTGCTTGTTTTTGTAAATAAAGTTTTATCGGAATACAGCCATGGTCTTACATATTGTTTATGGTTGATGTTGTGCTACAAAGGCAGAGTTCAGTTATTGTGACAAAGATCTTCTAGCCCACCAAGCTCAAAATATTTACTATATGGTCTTTTATAGAAAAAGTTTGCTGACCCTCTAGTGGAAGAAAAAAGAAAATTCACTGTTTATTTTTAAAATAGGATAAGTACAATGATAAAGATATGCATTAAAACAATACTTGAGCACTCGCAATAGACCACATTCTGTCCTAAATTATTTTATAGATGTTAATTCATTTACTGTTGCAACAACTCTATGGAGATATATTATTTACAGATGAGAAAAAATAAGGCACAATGAGATTAATAACTTGCCTCAGGTCTCAAGTAAGATGCAGCCCAGGGGGTCAGGGCTCAGAGTCCTGCTCTTTATCTATACAGTGTCATGCCTGAGGGAATTAGTGTCTGTCTGGGAGCCCAGGGGAAGGGGGCCTGACCCAGTAAAGAAAGGCTTTGTGGAGAAGGAGATTCCCCAGCTGAATCTTGAATGAGGAATACCAGAGTAGGATTTAGCCAAAATTGTGGTAGTGGGAGTAAAAACCAAGCAGTGGAAGCTCAGGTGTAGTGTATGTGCGGGGAACTATAAACACTTTAGCTTTCTGGGGTGGAAAATATGTGGCAGAAAGTGGTGAGGGCTGTGTGAAGCCTGCTGAAGTGTGGGGGCTCTGCACTGTAGGTGACGGAAAGACAATGACATGGTCAGGGTTCTATTTGGCACTGACCACTTTAGAGACCCAGTAAGGACAGATTTAAGGGTAGGAAATGAGGAAGACAAGACATGTTAGGAGTTTGGTCAGAACCAGAACATTGGCAGTGGGAGTACAGGGGAAGGTAAAACAACTAAACTTGGTAATTGCTTGAAATGGGGGGTAATTGCTAGAAAGAGAGACGATCCTCAGATGTCTCCCAGGTCTCCATTCTGGGTGACTAGGGCCTGGATGGTGGCATCATCATCTGAAAATTGGTGGTTGGGTCAAATAGGGACAAACAAGAGGTATCCCGGATCATGGGGCAGGCGATGAATTCAGGTGGGACAGGTTGAGTTCCAAGGAGCAGAGGGGCATCTGGTAGAGGTGCCATGAAATGGGTGGAGGAAGTTTGGAGTGGAAGTGTTGGTTGGAGATCCAGACTCACAATAAGCAACGTAGAGGTGGTAATTAAAGTCATAGATGGGACCACCTAGGGAAGGCTGCAGTGTCAGAACAGCGGGAAGAGAACAGAATCCTGGGCAGGGGGAGGAAGAGGAGCCCATGGAAGAGGCAGAAGAAGAAATAGACAGAAAAGGCCTAGGAGCGTTCAGGGTGAGAAGCACCCCTGCAGAAGGTTTTAGGGAGGAGGAGCTGAATAAAAATGTTAAATATAGTAACAAGGACTGAAAACATTTTATTTTTTTTTTTTGACCGGTAAGGGGATTGCAACCCTTGGCACGGTGTGGTCTGCACCACGCTCAGCCAGTGAGTGCACCGGCCATCCCTATACAGGATCCGAACCCGCAGCCTTGGCACTACCAGCGCCACACTCTCCCGAGTGAGCCACGGGGCCGGCCCAGGACTGAAAACTTTTGACCAGAAGTTTCTAGGACATTATCAGAAGTGGTCGTAGTAGGACGGTGGGGATACATGCTGGGTTGGAAGATAAAAGGAAGAGAGAGTTTGCATGGGATTAAAGCAGGAGACGGTCAAGTGAGAAGTTGTTTGTTTGCTTCTATTTGGGATATAATCAAGACCTAAATGTGTTAGTAGACTGTGGGGAGATGCTAACGGAGAGATCTGAAGATGGGAGGAGATCTAAAGATCAGTGGCTGATGGAGCCAGGCCCACAGGACATGGGAAGGGTGATCCCATGGACGGGGGCCCATGAACAAGAAAGATGCCACATCCTCTGAGATTGGGGGACAGGGTGGTGTGGTCGGTGGGGTATGAAGTCGCAGGCTCTCACCTATGATGATCATGATTTTGTAGATGAATCAGGTCACAAAGTTGGAGGCATAGTCAAAAGCTTGAGAGTGAGGGAAGCAGGTGCCAAATGGGGGGACATGTGGAGCGTAGTGAAGGTCTGTGCTCTCCATGAAACTGGCCAAGGTCGAGGGCAGGTTGATGAAGCGCCAAGGCAGCTGACCATGAATGTGCAGTATCTCTGGTCTGAGCAGTTCTTGGTTTTTCTCCAACATCCCTCAACTGCCAGTAAATAAATAAGCAAGTAAACATTTTGTTTAAACATTATCCTATAACTCTGTCTCTTTTCAGGGCCCCCTCCCTATACTCTTTGACTTCAGTTCCTTGGCAGCCAGAAATCATGGTGGAGAGAGCTGGGGTCATGACATGAGCACAATGGCAGCCATGTGATACACATGATGTATCAGGGGCTCCGGAGAAGATGGAAAGGGGAAGGCTGATGTCTGGGGACCTCACGTTTTAGAACCGTGGGGCGATGGTGGACACAAAGGCATTGGCGACACGGTGGGGGGAAATGAGAGGCAGCTCCTAGCAGGAATGTGTGGGGAAGAAAACTGGTGGTAGGATCAACAGGGTTTTGGTGGGTCCCCTGTGCCCTCCTGGGCCTTTGGCGCCTCCCTCCTCTCCCCACTGCCTCTGCCCCTTGGGCAGGCACTGGCTGGCTCCTCGGGTCCTCCCTCCCCCTCTGTCGTGTGTCCCTGACTTCTCCTCTGGCATCACCCTTCACCTTGTAGCAACTCCTGAGTCACAGATCTTTGATATCTGGTTCATGTTTTTCTCTGTGCAGAGCCCTGGAAAATCAAGGGTTTGTCATCACTGAGCGGGGTGAGATTGAAGTGAAAGGCAAAGGCAAGATGACCACATACTTTCTGATCCGTAACTTGAATGCCACAGAGGAGGAAATCATGGGGAGACCTACAACCTCCCTCGATCGCAAGGGTAAGCAAAAAGGAGAAGCCTGGTCGTGAGTGTTGAGTATTTTTTCCACTAAGCACTTCAGATGTGTTGAGTGTGGACCCGGGCTCTGCAGGGTCAACACAGGTAGCGTCCCCCTGACCACCAAGCAGCCACCTTCCCTGCGGTAGAAGCTCCTGAGGATCAGCTCAGCTCTCTTGCCCTGAACACTCTCCTCTCGCATCCTGGATCTTATGATGCTCTTTGAGCTGGACTGATGGATCTAGCCTAAGGGGTCCCACATGCATTAGTTTTCGGGGTTCCTCTCCATCCCTCAAGCTCTCCTGTAGCTGGGGATGATTTCAGAGCACTGCCTCTGCTCCTCAGCCCTAGAGGAGGCTCCCAAACGGCCTTTCCTCACACTCTAGAGCCTTCTACCTTCCTCATTTTCTTCTGGCTTCCAAAACTGGGAAGAAGGACAAAATTCGTGACTCAACCAGCTCCAGGAATGACAAGAGGGTGGGAGCTTAGCATAAAACACCCAGTGCTGAGCTGGACCAGGGATCACTGTTTGGCTCCTGGTGCACAAAAGAAGCAGCTGGAATCCAGAAACAAGGTCTCCATCAGCTGCAGGGCTCAGCCATCCACACACTCAGGGCCCTGCCACTACCACCTGACTGGGAGGGGAACGCTGGCCTGAAGGGAAGCCCAGTAGCAGGAGGCACAGCTTTAGGAACCTCTTAAGTAAACTGGAGAAGGAAATGGATTCATTCTGACAGGAGCTAATCTTTAGCTGCTCCAGGGGCCCACAGAGGAAAGTCTCTAAATGCAGAGGCTCCTTATTTACATAGTTGATATATGCAGGATGTCTCTTTGGGACACATGTATTATGGTTACTGTTTTTAAAAGTGGAGCTATTTCAACAAAGAGATGAATATTTAAGAACTTTCTGAATTGTTTTCCTAATGCTTTCATTCTAATATCTCACCTTAGTATTCATGTGAGCTGTGGTTGGTTTTGGCCATATTTTACTGATGGAGACACTAAGATAGAAAGATTTATATAAAAAACTCAAAATAACCTTGGCTAATAAAGACCAGGAGCAACCCTAGAGTTTTGGGGCCCTCAATTTTTAGGTTCTGGGTGCCTCACCCACCGACATCACCCTCTCCTCCCACCAATATGCTGTCCTCACGTCCAGAGGGTTCCTAGAGAGGGGTGAACACACTTTTCTTCTCTGTTCCTTCTTTGTTGTCAGACATGGACGAAGTAAAGAGGGGGTGGGGGACACTATGTCACGTGATTGTGGGAGAGGGGTGGAGGCTTTCGCACAAGGACAGGGCACAATCATTCTCAGATGCTCCTGGCCAGGGCCCTACACTGCACAGCTTTCTCCCATCCATCTGCGGGGGTTCCCTAGCTTTCAAGTTTGATGAACAGTATTCTGGAACACAGCCTGGGGCAGTAGTCTAACTTACTTCAGTTCTGAGCTCGAGGGGGAAACCCAGAGTCAAAAATGAATAAGGTACCTCCATTGGAAGACCTTAATGTGGAGCCGGAGAAAGAGGAGGGAGAGAAGATGTAAACAGAGGGGGAGCAGACACCCTAAACAGTGTCTCTGTGCCAATAAAGAAAAGGTGCTCCTTTGAGAGGGGGAGTAGGTAGCACCAGGCAGGGCTTTTAAGGGAAAAGGCAGCCCACCCTCTGGGCTGAGGCCAGCCCTCACCCCAATCCCCTTGGCCAGGTGCCTCATGCAGAGAAACTGCACAACCCCGTATGCGGTCCCAAGGAGGGAGGATCCAGCCGTCTTCTTTTCATGCTTCTGTACATTTCCCTGGTCCCTTTCTGGGGCAGCCTGGGATTTCATGTTGTGAGCCTCAGCCATGGGCTCTGAGGAAGGGCGCATCTGTCTCCCTGTGCCCCCAGGTTGGCCTCTTCCCTCAGATTACCCTCCCCCCCACCCAGGACACACACAGTGGGTTTTCTTTTTTTTTTTTGGATGGTTTGGGGAGGAGCGGGAGTAAGGACTGGAAGGTGGACTTCAGGTGAGTCCAATGTGCAACCAGTACTAAGAACCATGTCTTGGGCCAAGCAGTGCAGAGGGGAGGGCATCGTGGTGTCTTTGTTGTGCCCTCAGGGGTGACAAGCCCCACCCCACCCTGGTTGGATGAGACCCTGGGGTAGCGGGAACAGGAAAGGATGGCGTCCAGGAGAGCTCTTCCTCAAGCGTCCTCCTGTCCTGCCCTTTGTTCTCAGAAGCAGGGACATTTCCTCATTCTTCTTTTAGGTGATGAGTACATCAGATTATTTATTAAATGTCCTTCAGCCTCCCTAGCCTGACATTTAACAGTTGGAACCACTGTCTGTCCTTCACATGATGCACCTGAAAGAAACACCCAAGGGGGTCCCCTGCCTCGGCCGATCGTGCAGCCTGCTTGTGTGTCTGTCCCTTCTCACTCTTCCTTTCCCTCGTGTTTTTTTGCAGAAGCAAGTGCCCAGGCAAACCAAGTCAGGAGCACTGTCACCGTGATGAGGTACGCAGACAGTCAGCAGCAGCTCCCCTGCAGTGACGCAGCAGATGGTGAGTACACCCGGCCTGGTGTCACACGCTCCCAGACCTGCTTTGCACACACAGACCATCGAACCAGAAAGAAACAGCTCTGGTGGAATTGGGGGTCCTGGGGCAGAATGCATCTGACTTGGCCCTCACTGGTTTGCTTGTTTGTTTGTTTGTTTGGCAGCCGGCCTGTACAGGGACCGAACCCTGGACCTTGGTGTTATCAGCACCGCGCTCTAACCAGCGGAGCTAACCAGCCAGCCTTGCTGTATTTTGAATAAGCTTTTGTGTTGGGCTTCCTCCACCCCAGGTGTCCTCATTCTGAAAGGGCCTTTTATATCCCCCTCCAAAAGAATTTCTAGTACTCACAAAAACTTATTGATCTCCATGTACCTGCAAAACGAAGTTTCTCTGCACACCATCCATGGCCCTCAGTAGTGTGCCTACTCTTACTAAGGAGTGCTTGAGACTTCCTCAGTGTTCCCCATCATCTGGCGCTTTATGGAGACCTCAGGGCATTGACACAACCCACAAAGTGTAGCCCCGGGACTCTCTTCTCTGTGTTTCTCATGAGGGTGGTAGGAATGGGAGAGTTACTCACGCTTACTCATGTAGGCCGGAGCAGTTATTCAGGTCCCTCAAGAGCTGTTCTCAGGACTGACAGCTGGGTTTTGAGTATGGGGTCACAAAGAAGTGAGGGGAGCCTGGGGTGGGCCTGCAGAGTGAGCCACTGTGGCAGCAGCCACCACTGCCATCCTGTCCCCTTTTGGAAACCCCATATCAGGCCATCCATATGGAGTTAAGTTCGCCAGGCAAGGAAGCAATGTGTGTGTGTCACAGGGGATCATTTTTCAAAAACCATCCCTGTTCACTGAGACAATTTCTTAAAACAAATGAGACAACCCATGTGATGAATTAGAACAGCTTAATAACCATATAAAGAGTTTAGCCATTGCAATATTTATTAGACAATGTCTCTAAGCTTGAGCCCTTGGTGCTGGGACTGAAGACCTCCCTCTAGCTTGGTCCTAGAATCCGAGGTTGGGGAGTGGTCAGAATCCTTCTGTTCGATTCTGGTGAGAGGAAACAGAGCAAAACTTCCCCTACTCTGATCCTGGGGTCAAATGGAATGTATGATTCTGGAACATGAGAAACTCAAACAAACTTTCTGCCATTACACAGCTGGCTGGGCCATTGGACCCAAAGCTGCACCAGCCCAGACTTACCGAATCAGAAATTGTCTCTCTGCAATGTGCCCAGGTAATTTGAGTTTGAGTTTACCACCAACACGGGCTTCTTCCTCATCTCTGATGGTGGGTGCAGACATAGAATTTAGCCTGTGGGATTTGTGTCACCTGCTCACAGGACCTGCCTTTCCATCATTGTCAGGTCCTAGTTCTTAAGGTTTTTAGTCCCAGCTAGATCTGATGTGTCATGCTTAGCTCTGAGGCAGGTGGAGGTTGCTGAGTGTCACTGAGGGAGCCCCCATCCCCGTCCCCACCCCTGGGCCATTCAGCTCCGCCCCTATGTGGGCCTCCCTACGGGGAAGTGTTTCCATCCAAAGCCTACCAGAACTCCACAGATCGGGCTATAGGATCTTGCTACCTGGGACATCTGCCTGCTTCTCAGTCTCCTGCAGTTGGGTGGACATTTGAGACTCGCCTCCTGGATCCTATCTGCCACCAGGTTGTCACCTGGCAGCCAAACATGATGGCTCTCCAGTTCCATGTGTTTCCACCTGACTTGGCTCCCGGGAGTGGGAAGTAGGCAATCCTGCCCCCCACTCCACTGTGGGGACCACTGATGCTGACAAAATACCTCAGAGCCTCATTAGCACATGGAACTGCAGTGGCAAGCAGGCCACCACACGGCCGCCTCTTGGAGGGCCAGTGGAGGGCCAGTGCTCACCCCTTCTCTTGGCTCTTTTTAAACAGCCAGCCTCATTGAAGCCTTGCGAGGCCCAGCCGCCTTCTGTTGGGGCAGCAGGAAGCACCCACAGGACCCAGGCCTACAGGCTGCATGCAGACCTCATCTGCATTTTAATAATGCACTTTTCTTTCACTCGGCTGTGTATTTGGGTGTTGGATGTTTCAGTAGGGAGACTCCCTGGTGCAATTAAATGGGTGTATTGAGCCAGAGAGAAACCAGTGTGTGTTGACTCAGATATTTAAGTAACCACCTTTCAGTATTGACTAAAAAATTGGCCTTCCAGCTGTCCCTGCTGGCAGGCTCTTCTGGCATCTCGTCAGGCCCTGTTAATGTGTTTTTCACATCTCAACTTGCTTCGACTTGTCTCCTAACCAATTCTCCCAAGGATTATAATAATGGCTTCCAGGCTGACCTGCATACAGCGCTTAGGCAAGTAGCCCAGGCCCCTCTCTGGAGGTGACCCCTCCTTATAGTTCAGTCAGAGGGTGACCACTTGCTGGGTTCGCAGCAGGTTAAGTCAGCTTGGGGGACTTCTTAAACCAACTCTTAATTGTTCCTCTGGAGAACTTTAGTGGTGAGGGTCTCTCTCCTGACCCAGTGTAGGCTTTAGTGGTTTACCTGCTGGGGGCTGCTTATTCCCTCCCAATTTGATTCACTTTTCCAAACAGGAAGAGCTTTCCCACTGTTTGCAATCCCCTGACGGGTAATTCTTGGATGGATTTGTGGTCACTTAATTGCTAGAGTCCATGCCCCTTGCTTTACAGAGTCCTGACAATCCAAGTGCCTTTCCAGACGTGTCCAATTAGCTGGGGTGCAGCTGGTTAGGAGCCAGGCTGCTAAGGGAGACTGGGTCCCTATTCTCTGCTCAGAGCCTTTCAACAGCCTTTCTGAGGCCTTCCTAAGCATGGCTGTCAAACATCTCTGACCTCTCCTACTTGGGGCTGATGAATGGCATAGCTGTTTTAAACCTCAGGCGTTCTAGAGGTTGAGCTGTTAACCTAGCAGTGTTCTGTAGAAGAGGACCCAGGGAGGTGTAAATGGACCCTTCACAAATCAGGAGGTTACTAATAAGATTTTCAGTGTTAGGGCTAGTCCCTGAAGTCTCATGTTGTCACCCTTAATATCACGGACAGCATGTCACATCAGAGCTGGTCAGTGTGGGAGGCGGCAGGTGGGAGGGCAGCGGGATCATCTTGGAACAACCTGTTGGCAGGACAGACAGTGGGTGACTCAGTAGGCTGGAGTGGGGCCTGCAGTTTTGCTCTGTTAAGCAACTTTACAGGATATTTTGATGGGCCACCGGGTTTGGGAACCACTATCATGATGGAAAGATTGAAATTGGAATTCCTGGGCCGGCCTGGTGGCGCACTGGAGAGTGCGCCGCTTGGGAGCGCGGCGGCGCTCCCGCCGAGGGTTCGGATCCCATGTGGAGACCGGTTCCAGCTCACTGGCTGAGCGCGGTGCGGGCGCAACACCGAGGGTTGCGATCCCCTTGCCGGTCAGTAAAAAAGACAAAAAGGAAAAAAAAAAAAAAAGAAATTGGAATTCCTGGGGCTGAGGCCAGGTCCTGGCACTCAGTGACGAGCTGCGTCACTTCGGGCAGGGACTCTTCATTTTTCTCATCCCGAAGGCAGTGGTAATAGAGAGGCTGCTTCATAGCATTGGTTTGAGGGATGTATGAGATGGTAAGTGTGGCCTAAAAACTGCAGAGTGCTGAAGATGCTTTATCACTAGGTGACACTATTGTTGGCAGTTCATTCAGTTAACAAATATAGTGGTCTTAGCACAAAACTGTAATGGGTACTACAGGGGATTAATAAAAGAAAGGATGATCTGCTGCAGGCAAGTAGCCGCACTTCAATGAGTGGGACAGAAGGCTCCACATACAGAAGTCAGGATCCCAGCCTCATGCAGCGTGCTCCAGCTCGACCATGTGTGCCTGTGACACTGGAACACATACCAAGGGCTCACAAGACATCTTAGAGGAGGGGCAGGTGATGGCAGAAACAGCATAGGCAAGGATCTGCTCTGATCTCTAGAAAATATGGAGGCTTCTGGAAACTGAAGTCCTATTTCCTCCAAACATGGCCTCTTTTGCCCATGGATAGAAAGAGGAGGCAATTGGAAGCGATCCTAGAGGGCAGCCCCTCCCTTCAATCTGGTGACACAGTTGCAGCCTTTGCGACACTGGGATAGAATCCTACTCTCACTGGTGGAGTTTCCCCCAATATTTCATCCTGGAATTCATGGCTCCTTTTTCTGTTCGAACCTCCTCTGCCCTTCCCTAGAGCAGGTGAATGTCTTGGAAGACTAACTGAGATAGAAGCATGTGGGAGGGGATAAAGTGCTGTGCACACCTGGAGACTACGCAGAGTAAAGGCCAGCACAGGGCATGGTGAGGGAGCCCAGGGGACGGCCAGCAGCAGACCCTCTCCTGCCAAGTACCAGGATGGGGGTGCAGTTTTGGATGGGGCGAAGCTGTGGTGGTGCAGTGCTTTGAGGACCACCGAGAAGACCCAACTCAGGCTCAGGTCAAACCCTCCACCCCAGTCATGGAGAATAGCATCAAAACCAAGATGTGGTCTTCCATGTCTTATTCTCTCTAGGAGCTTAGAAACAGATGCAGAAATGCAAAAAAGGGATGATCTTAATGGCAAATATAAGAATCCCTTCTGGGAAGTCCAGATCATATTCTGTATGACTCACAAAGGCCTGCCTGTACTAACCAGGCAGGGAACCAAATCCCACCTCTATTCCCCAAGGCAACAGCATTTCCCCTGTTCCTATCACTGCAGGACCCACAGCAGCCCCTTCCCCTCAAGTTCATATTTGACTGCATGGCTTATGTGATGGGTGTTTTCCAAATGGGGAGATTTCTTCTGCAACCATTCTTCTCACTTAATCCGTTCATAATCTAGATCAAAATGCTTTTAATACTGGGCTGTGTGGTTTGTCCAACTAAGGATTATTTGTTTATTCATTTATATTATAGAAAGAATATTTAATTTGTTTTAAAAGAAAGTGCAGATAAACCAAAAGAAGAAAACAAAAGCATCTCTAATTGCATCACCCAGAGAGACTACTATTAAAAATTGGGTTCATCTCTTCCCTATCTTGTGTGTGTGAGGATGTATGTGTATGTGTAAACATATATACTTTTTCTTACAAAAATGGGATTGCCGTGAATATACTGTCATAAATTTCTTTCCATTGAACATTTAAACACATTTTTAAACAGAGGAGGGAGATCTTAAAAAGATATAACACGTTTACTGTGGTACACTTGATTCCCATGTGACTTGTGCTGTTACATACCAAAAACCACTTTTATATGATAGCAAATGGAAATCCCAATGATCTTGTACATCTGCACATATACGACACATCTGTGATGACCCTGATATTCTGTGACTCCTAACATTTCCTCTGAGTTTCTCAAGGAAGACTAAGCTCGTTCAATTTAGCTTTGATGTTTAGATTATCCCAGGTGTCTAGATGTCAGCAATCCATGGAAGATGTATCTTGTCATTGTCAATTAATCAAAAAATGTAGTTAACCAGAATGCTACATTTCCCAACTGTGCACAGTAATGAGCATTAACTGTAGCAAAATGACGGTACTAAAAGGCAGTCCTTGGGTCATGAGCGATGGTCTTGTGGGAGTGAAAGACGATGGATGTGAATTCATCTCAAGTAAACAAGGAAATTCTTCCACCATCTGGATCATGGGATGTGATTGGGGTAAAATGTCAGACATATATGTGTGGAAATTCTGAGAGTCCTGCAATTCTGTGCTGACCAAGACTTGTTTGAATTGTCAGGCGGCATAGACTCAAATTAACGAGTCGCGTCCACTGTCTCGCTTTCAATATGCTGTCTGCATCCTTTTCCCCAGCACGGTCCTAGCTGGTCGTCTTTTTCTGTCTGTTGATCACGGAATTTTTTCTTCAGGGAAAGAAAAGAGAAAGAGGAAAATGAGTTGAAGGGAAAAGGGAGTAGAAACGGAGGAGATGGAAAACCACAGTAAAGATACACACAGGAAAATGAAACGTGGACAGGTCAGAAGAGAGACGAATGTGCTGTGCAGGCAGGAGAGATGAATCAACGCGAAAAGCTGAGTTTAAAAATTTTTGAGAAGAGAAATAAGAAGGAAAAAAAAGTCCAAAAGTGTTGAATAAAGAGGAGACTGAGGGATCTGTGAAATATTATTTCCTAGTGTAGAGCTTACTTCCAAAATTCTTTGTGAGGGGTTAATCCAGAAAACAGATTATTCATCTTGGTTACAGAGAAATCCTAGTGCTCTCTGGAAGCAGGAGCAGATTGTGCCTGAGCCTGACTGCTGGCAGGTAAAGGGATAGTCTCCTTTGTTGTATTCCCTGCCATTTTGACAACTTCAGCCCTTTCTAGCTCAGTTTTCATTGTAAGTGGACTAACCCCCACTTTTGGTACAATTACAAATCCACAAAACAAATAACACGTGATACTATTTTGTGGAGATTTTTCACTTACAGATTCTTAACACATTTCTATGAATTGAGTGGGAGACAGATGTGTTGTTTAGTATTCTTTTGCATATGGAGAAACTGAGGCACAGAGTTGGGGAGAGTTCAGTCACCTTCTTCAGTGCTAATGGATCATGATGGATCCAGAAGCAGATGGCCAGGTCTTCTCAGTAAAAAAAAATTACATCTCTATCTGTGATCAACACCTTTTTCCTTTATTTGCTATGATACCAAAACAAAACTTTCAAACACACTGTTCTTATTTAAACTGTATATTTCCGTTTCTGAAAAATTTAATTTCCTTTTAAATTATAGTAGTGCTTAAATCTCAAAGAAATACAATACTGCAATAAACTCCATAATTCAAACTGAAAGAGATGAGGAAGGGCATTGGAAATAACAAAATTAATAGAGAATTAGCAAAAAACAAAAACAGAAACCCTATATCTGAATAAGTAACGATTTCCAAAGAGCATAAAATACTGCTGAATATGATTCAGTCTTTTGCGTGTGTGTGAGAGACAGAGAGAGAAAATGTGGCTACGGCAATCAAATGAATCTATAGCTAACAGCATTTGTACTTAGCCAACTCTGGTTTGGCCATACTCTATAAAAATGCCACAGTTAAGAGTTTTATGAACCTGATTTCTTGTCAAATTAGCCCCAACTTATGCATGAGTTAAACACTCCATACGAATCATGGAAGGTAACTCAGTTACATAGTTCTAGGTGTTTAAGGAACCCCCCTGTATTTGCTTTAGGTCCCTCTCCCCAATTCTCACCTCATCTTGGGCTGGAGGCTGAGGTGAGACTGGGGACGGGTGCAGTAGCCCCCTAGTTTCCACATGCATGTCATCACTTGTGTCATTAATGAGCAGTACACTAGCAAATCAAGCTTGTCTTGGTCTAATTGCTTGACTGTGCTGAAAACTACTCTTTGCTCTTAGGATCTTAAAATAAAACTGATCGCTGTTCAGGTCCAGGAAGAAGTTTGAAGAACTAACCTCCCCTAATGGGGAAAGAAGCCATCCATTAATTTGGGAACAGAAGGCTGAAGATAGGAGCCCCTCCTGGTTTCCTGCTTTCTAGAACACTAGATGTATGTGAGCCTCAAATGTAACACATGAGCTTCTCTGGACTTGAATGTCTCTGGAACAGTGATTAGTATTAAAAAAAAACAAAAACGGAAATTATAATGATATACGACTTTAAAATTTCAGACGCCGACCTTTCCAAATGCAACCGCAGGGAGAGCAGGAGGAGATAGAGCCAGGGTCCTTCATCCAGCTTCTTGTTCCCATTCCTCCTCTGATCCTAATCTCTCCCTCCTGCCTTGGCTCACAGTCCCAGAGGTGGAGCTTTTTCCTGTGCCTTCTCCCTGGGCTCCCACCCGTACTTAGAAATACTAATTGGCATCTTTGAGTCTGTACTCTGTGTAGGGTCCTGTGTATCAACACTTGATATACGTCATCTAGCTTAATGATCACAGCAACCCTGGGAGGTAGGCATAATTCTTACTTCCCCACTCTTCAGATGAGGAAAAATGAACCCAGAGAGGTTAAGTCACTCATTCACAGTCACAGGGTGAACAGTGGCAGTGCTGGGTCTGACCCACAGCCTGGGTGACGTTGCTGCTCAGAACCTGTAGATAGTCACAGGCCAGCAAGAATGGGGACTTGGTGCTATTATGTGAGTTAAGCAGAAGTAAAGATTTGTGGTGTGACCAATGGGATGGCACAAAAGAAATCATATGGCCACAGGCGGTGGTCTGTATGGGCCGTTTGGCCTTGGCCGTGAAGACCTTTTTCCGCCCAGGATCATGCTGAAGCCCATAGTGTCCACGCTGTGTTCCTGGGGCCAGGCCTGGGTGGAAGCGCCTCCCGCTGAGACCAGTCCGAGGCTTGACTAACTTGCTCACTCCTCTGTCCTGTTTCAGCTTCTGACAAATCCACACCTGCGGGGAATCCAGTGGCAGGACGGGGCTCCGTGGAGGCAGCTGACCGACTGCAGTCCTCAGATCGGACAAAGACCCATCACTCTCCTAATGTCACCGTGCCTGTGCCATCTGGTTTCTGTGTTTTGTTGTAACAGAGGGAAAAGGAACTCCTGGGATTAATTCTCTCCCTACTTTGTTCTATGGCGTCAAGGAAAAGAAACTTCTTTTCATTTCTCAGCTCAAAACTTCCTCAGCTATGTCTCTTTCTCATTGTACCTTTGAGAATAAAAGTCTAAAAATGAGTCATAATCCTGACAAGTTTGGAAAATGTGCTTTTATGTTCTTAGTTCGAAGCCAACCCCTAAACGTTGAGGCTCTGGATCGTATTTGTTCTCATAGACGGCAAGTTCAGCTGTGGGGCCTGTTTTTGTTTTCTTCTAACAGGAGTGAATGGCTTTGTGCTCTCATCACTGGGGGTCTGCCAAACCTTTGCTTCTGAACAAGAGCCCCAGTGGCCGACTTCGGAGAACACCTTGACCTTGGAGGCTCCCGTGTGCACTGCCTGTTGTAAGTGGTGGTGGGAGGGAGGGGAGACGGAGGAGGAGGAAGAGGCGAGAGACCCAGACCCCGCAGTTTATAAATCACCCCGCACCACAGCTGGGATGTAAAAGGCACTCAGCCAGGCTTGTGAAAGGAAATAATTTTCATTCCCAGCCCTGGGATTACATGAAGCAACAGAACAAAAGCTGCATTCCCCAGAGATTTTCTGAACATAAAATGGAGGGAAAAATGTGAAAATCACCAGAAGGGCAGGATTAGGAAAGATATGGAAACAGGGCTGAGCGCAGCCAGACACCCAGGTCCCCTGGCCGGCCCCTCTCCCGCTTCTCGCTGCAGGTATCGAGATGCCTTCTGCAAAGGCATGTGTTGACAATGTTCTCAGGGCTCCTCCAACTGCATGAATGGACGGGTGGGGGGACAGGGATTGTCTACGGGCTGCTCATCTGTATCTGGTGATGATGAGGAAATCAGTATTTTCCTGACGTAGATAATAAAGAAACTCTTAAGGGCACACATGAGCTTGTGACTCATCCATCTGCTTTTTCACTTGTCCCAAGAGGCATTAGCTGTCTTTCAGCAATGCCCACGGGGGCAAGGGCAGGAGTTGACACTGTCCCTAGCCAATCCCAGGGGCAGGAGGGGAAGAGAAGGTGGCAACCACCTCTGCATCTAGAAACAGCCCAGCAGGGCACGGTGAGTGCAGGTCAGACTGAACGCAAGGGCAGAGTCAAGAGATGTGGCTGCTCGTCCAGGCCCCACACCCGATGTCTTGGTATTTCAGTTTCACCACCTGTAAAATGAGTTAGTGACAGCTGCCCCACCTACCTCACAGTTTTTTTTTTGTGAGGTTTCAGTGAAATATGAGAGCACAAAGATAACAGCAAATACAATAGCTGTAACTACTAACATTCACTGAGCACCAACCATGTGGCAGGCAGTGGCCTTGCATGCATGCACGTATGTCACATATTACTTTTCCTCCTGCAACAGTCCTCTGACTACCGCTCTTCCACTCCCTACATGACATATGAGGAAATAGAAACTCAGAGAGATTCAGTAGCCTGAGAACACAGCACTGGTGAATAGTCAAAGCAGGACGCCTGATGCTCCAAGTTATGACACCATCAAGAGAAGCAGGATACCCAGAAGGTATAGAGCCAGGAGCCAGGTACAGAGCCAGGTTTGAATCCTGGCTCCACCACTTACCACTTGTGTGATTTTAGCAAAGCTGCTTAACATCTCTGTGCTTTAGCGTGCCTTTTGTAAAATGGGGATAATCAGAGGACCTGTTTCATGGAGTTGTCACGAGGATTACAGGAAATATACACAAAGCACTTAGAGGCAGGTCCTAGGCTACCATGAGAATTACATGAAATATGCACAAAGCACTAGAGGCAGGCCTGACACTTAGTAAGCCCTCTTTAAATGCTAGTATATTTTATTTGTTTAAGCCCCTGCTCAAGCAAAGATGATGAAGCTCACAACTCTTGTTTCTTCCCCTGTATTCTTCAAAATCCTTAATGCAGTTGTGAGAACCCCACCCAGACTGATGAACACTGTTAGGTGGTAGCATTGCCTGGGAAATAAAGAGCAAAGCAGCTATTTGGTGCGGTGGTGGCTTTCCGTTTTATTTTGGGGAGGAAAAAAGCCAAAGCCTGTGCTCTCGGCTCCCAGCTGGCAGCTTGCTTTGCTTTCTTGGCTCCCATAGAATATGCCAGTTTAATGCTCCGTGATACCTAAGACTGCCAGAAATTGTGAAGCAGGTGCCCTAATCCTGGCTGAAAATGGAGAGGATTTTGCTCAATGTTTATTATGATTTAAATAATCGTTTCCAGCTGTAAATGAATGACTACATCTCCCTGCATTTGGTATCACCCTGGAGCCTAGCATTTGTTCTTTTGAGTAAACACTGCTATAGACAAGGTTCAGGTGGCTAGGAAACCTAGCCAAGCTGATGACGTGCTCCATGGGCCCCGGCACTCCCAAGAGCACCTTCTTTCTTTCTTGGATCCACTTCTCTAGGTTAGAGCCCTCAGGAGCCCTCATGCCAAGCTGAGGTGTGTGAACACCCACTCAGAGGGCAGATTAGCTCGTGGGGTGCCTACACCTCTGCACGCATCTGCAAATGCTATGCTTGTGCACCAGCATCTGGTGGTCTGCCTGATGTCCACCCGCCTAACATCTGGCTATCACTCTAGGTAACAGACTTGTTTATGAGCACCAAACTCTGTGCTCAGCAGGGCAGGCAGAATGGCTTAGAACCTTTGAGGAGAGGAGCCCTCCCATACCCACCACCTTTTAGGTTCATTTTACCCTGTAACCCTGCCTCACCCAAGCCCCCTCCAGCTCCCTGCACCTCAGGGCACCTGATCAGGGACATTGCAGACAAGAATGCAGCAGATGGCTGGTCCGCAGGCCAAGGACTGGCAACTCACTGGCCTCCAGCCCATGGTGAGAGGCAGACATTCTCATTAATAAGAACCTGAAAACACTTCTCCCTCCTCCCCCTGCAAAGGAGCACAGAGCTCAACCCCATGGCTTCTACAGCCAGCTCCTGTGTCTCCTCCCAACTCTTTCCACACCAAGCCTCCTGGGCAACACTGGATCGTGGAGGTAAAGTTCATGGGCATGAGTGGAGGAGATAATGATATGCCTGATGCTCCGTTTCCTCCCTGTGCATTGGTTTCTCCCTCATGGATATCAAAAGCTAGTTCTCGAACGCCTGGGCCTGGCCAGGGCCTGGTATCTCACTCCCTCTGGGGGCTACGGCTGGCTCATTCTGTGCAGCCACCCAACCAGCCCCGCCCCTTCTTTTCCACCCTTTCTCTTTTCCAACTTTCCTTCACCTCGAGTTGTGTGTGAGAGAAAGAAGGAGAATCATGTGGCCGCCGAGGAATGAGATCATTTCTCTCCCGCTCAGCGGCGTGCTGTCTGCTAGCCGGGTGACCGGAGAGCGGCCAGGCTTGCTCTCTGCAGACAGCCATCTGGCTCCGGCACACTCGCGCCGATGCTAATCTATTGCTTTCTTGTTCTTTATTCCTTTTTTTTTGTCGTTCCCAAGGAACACTTCATCTGCAGCTGTAAACTCAGACCTGGCCTCTGTGAGACGAGCGTTCACTTGGCGCACACATTTATTCCCGCATTAAGCCCCTCGTCCCCTTCCTCTTGTAGGTGTCAGGACACCATTGTTATCATTGGTGGGTCTATGTAGTTTTAATGTCAGGGCTGTACTTTCAAATGGAAATCAGGCAATTATGCTCCACATGGAGAAATCTGACAGATGCAGAGGTTTTACACCACTGGCCGTGTCACGGGGACAAAGGCGGCCAGTGCTCCCAGGGGACCATTAAATAAATAGAATATGTTTCAAGAGCACAGAAAAATCCAGGAATAATTAACTGCATGATGAGAGTCCATAGATCTGGCGGCTGTTTAACTTCAAAATGTGATAATGATATGTCAACGAACCGCTTAACTCATCCTTGTAAAGGCGGCGTTAGAAAACCGATTACAATGTGCATTGAAACAGAGGCAGAGGCTGCTCTGTGCATCTGTTTTCTGGTTTCCAAATGCAAAGCTTCAGAGTACATTAACTTGTCTCAGTTCCTGCTCACAGGAGGCTCCAGTTGGTGTGAGGGGAAGGGGGAGGGGAGCAGCCTGACATCCTTCTGATGTAGCAGCTTCATGTCTGCATTAAGCCTTATCTACCTTCAGCGGTATCTGTAGATTTTAGTGGTATCTACGATCAGTGGTTTCGATCTAGGAACTCATGCTGAAAAATGTGGTGACAATATCACTGTGGCTACTGTTGGTTGGTACTTGTTATATGGCAAGCACCTGCTAAGTGGTCTCCATATATGGCCTCCTGGAGTCCCATGAGTGTGAAGTAAGTATTATTATTATTATCCACATTTCACACAGAGGAAACCGAGGCACAGGGCTAAGTAGAAGAACTGGCCTTCGGACCTAGCCCTGCCCATCTCAGACCTTATCTCTCGGCCACTGGGTTGAGCCCTCTCTAATGTTATAACGGATCGTGGGAAGAAAGATACCCACTCATTTACATGCCCTTTACACAGCACCCTCATGTCAGGCACGTACAGTTGGAATGAACTAAACAGGAGAGACCTAAATAAAAGTTAAAACTGAATTTTTTCTTTAACATACCGAGACGGAATTTGGAGTCTGAAACATGCAGTAAAATTCATCACCATGTATCCAAAACTGGGCTTAAATTAGCTTATTTTTTCAAAAAGTAAAGTGCCCCCAACTGCTGGTCATTGCTGTCTTCTGCCATGGGGGGAAACACACAGAGGGCAGGCTTTGGTCTGTTTGGTCTTCAGCAGCCCCTGAATTTTTCTGCTAAGCAGCTGCCTTGCTCTAAAGCTGATGCCAATTAGAACTGAGAAAAAAGGGAGGATATTTTATCTCTCAGAAAAAAGTATTTTTTAAACTAAGCAAATGATAAAAATAAGTAAATACAACAGGTTTACATAGGGATTTCTAGTGCTTTCTCAGATCAACAAGTGCCATTTTGAAAGCCCATGATGCCCTGTGGTAGAGAGAATACATTAATCCAACAAAACCAGAGCAGTCAGGAGACAAAACATCTACTAATGTGCTAGTGACTAATAAACACCCACGCACTCACAGCACACTCTCGTCATGAGTCATTTCACCTTATCCAAGGGTAGAGAAATATTTAAGGAGATTCAGAATCTTTTAGACAATCAGCTTTGTCCTATGTTAGGAAA